GAAATTTTTTGTCCCCAAAAATGTAGAAATTCTGCAAGGAGGCTGCGCGGGAGACTGGGCAAGAATAAAGAAGCTTTTCTGACGAGTTTAATTTTTGTACTGTCATTACTTATTAGAGAAAAGTCTTTGGGAAAATAGACAAGCTGTAGGCTAAGTGCGATCTATTAAAATACTTGGCGATATAGTAAGACATATCCAATAAGCCACAAATATGTAATGTAGTGTTTTTAACTTCTTTTACGTCCTTTCAAGCTCAATTAGCCATCATTTCCTGAGGAGGGAGTCAGTGTATTACAGTTTCTCAGCTTGGCCGTATGACGAAGAATAAGAAAACTTTGTCATTTATACTGCAGTACACATGTGCTGTTGTGCTTGTGGGATGTTGACCAGCTACTCTATAAAGTGATTAGTTTATGTAAATTTTATGCACTTGTGTTCATTAAGCAAACGCCGACACGTTACACACACGTTACACTACACGTTACACCTACTTTACATAATAATCTATAGTAAAATATATAGAAATATGACACGTTACACACGTTACACCCAATTTTTAAAAAAATAAATATATATATTTATTTTTAAAAACAGTGGGTGTAACGTGTGTAACGTGTCATATCTCTGTATGTTTTACTACAAATTATTATGTAACGTGTGGTGTAACGTGTGGTGTAACCTGTGTGTAACGTGACTATATTCAATACGTAAAAATAGATTGAGATTTTGCGCATGTGCGACCAGATTTGCTTGAACTCATCTCACATAATCCCAAAATCATGGGAGATGGAAGTTTGCAATAAATTCTAGTGCAAGTTTACGATCGGTAAGTCCGTTTATCAAGATAAATAAAAAGCTTGAATTGGGTTTAAAATTTAGTGAGTATGTCAATCTCACGTAACAATTCAGCTAAAAGTAGGAAAATCATGGAAATTTTTCCAAAATAGGTCTGAACGACGCGTTGTCTGTTATAAAATTCTTGAACTTAAAGGAAATGTTCTGTTTGAGAGAAAAAATATACATACTCATGATTGTCGGCCATGGGGAAAAATTGTCTTAATTTTTTTTATTATTTTATAATCTTCTTCCCATGTAGATATTCGTCAATTAACCGTCCTTTCCAAACAAAAAATAGCTATAGTTCTCAAGATCACCTATATTTTTTTTACATGAAGTATTCAATTATGGAAAACCGCTGAGAAAAAAATATTATATAGCAAAAGGTTCATTAAGCAAGAAATCCAAGTCAGCGTCTTCCCTGGAGCAATAAGTTGAAGCAACATGAACGAATTACGTTTCATTCAAAAGTACAAATAGAGACGATCAGGAGCAAAAATTATTGAGACAAACGCATAAATGCCCCCTCACCCCCAATTCAATGTTGTGTGGATGACTGAAAAGAGAATATTCAACCCGTTTTTTCCAACATTGATCATGGGGGGAGGGGGGAGGCCGACGTACTTGAAAATGGACAAAAACGTGAAAAGTCTCATTATTTTTGCTCCTGATTGCAGGTGTAAACAAGAAACGACAGGGGTAAAGGGATTTGGAGAGAACGTGTTTCGATATTCCTATAAGTAACTAAAATCAACTGTTTGGAATGGATGGGGAATGCATATTAATACCGTTAATTGTTATTGATGATGAAGTGAATTTCGGGCAGGAATTGACACATTTTGGAAATGTCAGCAAAACATGTACAGAGTAAGCAGCCTTCATTTGCCCCACCCTACCCCTGCAACCTCCCTCAGGCCCTCGGATCAACGGTCCGTGTATGTATAGAAAACAGTGTTAGTAAGGAAAAAAATTCCCGCTTTTATGCTCCTTTTCATCACTTAAGACCAACTCATTGTTACGTCACTTTTCTCTGGTGCAACTCCATACATTCCCTCACCGGAGAATTGTGGAAAAAACTCCTGGCGAAAAAAACATGGTGTTGTTTCACATATTAAAGTGCCTATGACGTGGGTTAGGGAATTGATGTGTTTCGATTATTTAGGATATTCTAAGAGTTCTTTTTTTATATATTTTATATTTCAGTAGGATAACCGAAGATTAATGATATAGTTCCACTTAAAATTCAATCGAAATACCAAAGAAATTTCCAGGCTCATCCAATTTATACTCGATTTTATAAAGAAAGCATAGTAAATCATACGTATTTTGTTTTGACACGTTCTCAAAATGACGTGACGCCGGCACTGAACGGCATTCTCGTCCCAGTATTATTAGGCTCATCATTATACGAAAAATTGCCAGCTTTCAGCGCCAAAATGTCTATGAAGATCAAATTCTTGAATTATAAAATACATTACAAAAACTCTTAGAATAACCAAAATAATCGAAATACACCAATTTCCTGGTGATAACATAGGCACTTTAATGCGAAAGAGACTAATGAATCTTACACGAAATAATATAGGACTATATAATTAATACGCAATTATATATTAATATATACTTATTTACAATTTCTATGCATGCACTTACCTCACATCTCGTTTCCTTCTCAACCTTAAAATAAATACAAATAGTTAGAAAAGGCTTAAGACAACCTAAATACTCGCCTCCGTTAAGCTATCTACCACACTTGTAAGTTAAAGCTAGCTTAGTCATTCCCACATAATATAACATAATACATATTTATATGCTAAATCTTTCAGGCTGGAGATATTTATTTCAGCTTCACGATTGAGGTAGGTTATTGGGGAATAGAGATGAATAGAAAAGTGACTTAAAAGGTAAGAAAGGAAGTATCTTTTACATATATAATAGAGGATTGTTTGAAATGATAGCTTAAAAGAAGGTTTACGCTATAGCTATTTCGAAAAAAAGGTCACTTAGAAATCCCAGCTTTCAGCCTCCGTAAAATATTGCATTTAAAGTAAAAATCATAATGCACAGGGGAGCGGAGCGGGGCCAAATAGCTCAATCTATTAATAGATAGTGACTTTTTAGCCCTTCCAAAAATGCTTGAAATACTAAAAAATGCGAATATGCACCTTACAGTTAATACAGGGAACTTTAAAATACTACACTTACTCAGGGTTGACCATGCGTCAACAAACAATGCCATCAAGCTTGAAAAACTCAGTGCTGGTTGATACCGTTGTCTACTGTTCGTTCAAGTGGTATAGATATCGTACCTAGCTCCCTTCACGCCAGAGGCTTTCTAACATGCTTTCTGGACTTTCGTGGCATTTATGGAAGAGCGCTATATGGGTAATAAGGCGCTATATGGTAATCGGGGAACACGAAAAAATATAGGTGAAAAACGGTAGAGAATAATGTCCCTTGGAGCCTTTATCACCCTGTAGCGCCTTAACCTAAATACAAAAAAACGTCTAGGACGAACAGTACCAAGTTTCTGTGGAGGAGAGAATATTGTACGACACTGTCCCTGAAACATATTTTTGTATACCTACTTTATAGTATCAACAAATTCCAATACAATGAGTTGAATCTCGGTAAATATGAACTTACGAAGTTATTGCAATGTTACATGTATTTTCAGCTGTACTGAAGCAGAATATGTTCATCCTTCTGGCTATTGTCACCTTAATATCCAACTCTTCCAAGGATGTGAACTATCAAAGAAAGGATATGTTAAACTAACTAATATTTAATTACTGTGGTACAGGTTAAATTTGAGAATATTCATAATTACGTAATATTCAAAATTTTTCGCATACAACAGGACGGATGAATTGGATTACAATATGGTAACCAACTATGAAAAATGCGCCACCGACCGTCCCGGGTTTTAAGTTCTTATAGCCTTTTGAGGCCAAAAACTCATAGCAGACATGGACCAATGATTTAAAGAAATATAAAAAGGTGTCTTCCTACACAAATCGGCCGAATAAAACCGTAAAGGGAATGATTCAGTTAATCTTAGAGGCAGATTAAAATTAGCCGCAAATTAAATCACGGCGCAACCGTCGTAATTTGGCTACAAATTTCCACACATGTTGAATTTGCTTACATTAACTCAACAGAAACTTTACATCTAAGATATCAGCATAAGCAGAATTATAATCTTCACTCACCTTTGCAACTGGAAAGTTTATTAGTGCTATTGGTACTGTATTGAGATTTTGTGCAAGAGTAAGCACTTGACGTTCACCAGATGCTACACTTTCTTTTGAATTTTCCAACAAGCTATCAACAGAGAAAATCCTTTCTTGCTGTTTCACGAAAATTGTGGCTAAGATGGATCGTGGCACAGTTCCATTACCGCTTGGTAAAGTTGCATAAAATAAAAGAATAGAGTTGGTTCCGTTTTGTCGTGGTGAGTTTCTTAGTCTTTGAATATGATCAGATGCAAAAATTTTCAGATCATTACTAAAAAAAGGGCACATAAAATCACGTTAATACTACGTAATCGCACATTTGGTATAGACAATACTATGATATGGGTTGATTTACAAAAAGCTTTGGAAATCGGCTGTGCATGCATGATCAGCAAACAACTTCATAGAAGACTATGCAAACAACCAAACAGCTAGGAAATATCGAAACAGCTTTGTTGTTCAACAAATTTCACTATTGTGGTTAATTTAAATCAAATGAATTCAATCCTACAACCTTTAGGAAATGTTTGCATGAACTTTCAGGTCTTTGGATTCTATTCACAAACTGGTCAGCTTGTGATATAGTGCAGATGTATTTGTCAGGTCAGACCTCCGATTATTTGATTCACATTTCGAAACGTCAGGCGTGAATACAATTAACGCGCTCCAAAGAATTTTGAACAATTCCAAACTTGTGATTTTCCGCACAGATTGAGGAAATTAACAAAAAGTCGCAGACTCGTCAATTTTTTTGAGGAAATTCGCTTTTTTTGGCAGACACAATTTGACTGTCTGCACAAATACCCTTTTTATATCAAGTCAATGCAAAATTCCACTAAAAACAGTATATACGCCAAAAGTATTTATAGGAGTGTCTGAAATTAAAACTCCCCTATATCTTGCTTCCAAATCTAAGAGAGTCTGAAATTCAGACACCCTTATAACTTGCTTCCAAGTATAAGGATGTCTGAAATTCAGACAC